CATGTTTAAATGCCCTTCACATGGAAAGGTAGCATACATTTTTAGCTCTTCAAACACAATCACAATCCTGCTTTACTTATCCTTTCTAAAAGCTTGTTTAAAGATTTCGTTAGACACAATTTTACAAAGTTGCCTGTCAGCAATCTGCGACATCACTCTCCTGTACCTCAGTCTGATATTCAGAAGGTACACCTCTACTACTGTAAAGTATTACACATTGGTTGGAAGTCAATGTGTCAGAAAATATCTGATTTTTAAATATAATTGATTAAGTTAATAAGAAAATAAAAGTGTATAAATACCTTAAGTGCTACGAGTCAGCTATAGACCTAACAGAAATAAAGTTCCGGCTACTTGTAAAAAACTCAAATGCAAGAACATGGAATGTGGAAGTGACCTCTAGATCCGAATAAGAGAGGAAAAAAATCTTTGTGCTTCTTCACTAATTATTATAAATATCAACATTGTAAAAAATAAATTTTACGAGGAAACGCAAAATAGTGAACAATCAGAAAAATCGCACAGGCTGATTTTTTACCATTTTCCTTTTCCTTATAAAATTCACCTGGCTAGGAATTTTGTAAATTTTTCTTTGTTAAAGCACGAAGACGGACGAAAACGGATAGCAATAGGTCACCTGAGTGACTCAGTTGACCTTAAAAGTTTATATAATTTTGAGGAACAAGGGTAACCAACCAAACTACATAAACAATTATGTATTAAATAATTTTATTTCATGCTAATTAAATTGGAAATCAATGGATTTTTTTTACGGTGTTGAATTAAAGAGGCATGACAGTTTGTTTGAAATACATGTACATGTACACAGGGAAAAGTGGCTCGCATGATTTTCATATGAAATTCGCACGAATATCATGCGAATTCTTCGCATGAAAAGGAGACGAAAAACAAGTCGCATGATATTCGCATAAAAATATCATGTGATTTTTACATGAAATTCGCACGAATATCGTCCGAAAAGAAAATCGCATGAAATTCATGCGAAAAAAGAATCCAGGTTTCATATGAATATCATGCGATGACAAGCATATTTTTGTACCCTAGAAATTGAAATCAAACTTTTATTTTTGAGTGCCCCAAAATTCAATCTATTAATTCTATCCTTCGAATCCTTGGAAACACAATTTTTGCTTCTTAGCAGTTCCTTCATTGAAAAGATTTTTTTTCTTGGATAATTCCATGGATTTAATAATATATTCTTTTTTTCTTACTTAGTCAATTAATCCAGATACAAGAAATGAATGATTATACAAAAAGTCACTTTCAATTTTAAAGAATCAAAACTTGTTTCTGGACTCCCTGACTAAGAAAAGACATTTGTGACATCAGCTTCTACATTGAAAACTAAAACCATTGATCTTTTTCTATCTTCTTTATTGAGGTTCTCATCACATAAAATTTCTTTATCTTGAAGTTCTGTTGAGGTGGTGTTGTTAGTAAACACTGAAAATACACATGGTTAACATTCTATAAGGTTATATCAAAATGGAAAATGCACAATAAATTTTCTGATTTAAATATATGCTCTAAATGCCCTTAAGTAGGATTGATATTTCTTGTCCATGATCAGCTATATGCCAAGTAAGATAATGTTCTCTTCATACTATCATATAAAAAGTTGTATCTTTTATTGAAATTTCTATAAATTCTGCAAACTTGACCTTGCCTTATGACCTCTGTTTTGGAAATTTAATACAAGGTATCTTATGATAATTATAATCAACCATTAGGACAGTATATTGAGATCTAGATCTTACTTTTACAATTATTAGTTATTATGTTATGGCCAAGAATTTAAAATTCAATCCCTGTGACTTTGACACTGCTTACATGAACAGCATGCAGAGTTATTTCACTGCCTCTGGTGATAGTAAAGCAGCCTTTATATTTAGAATATATCTTCATGAAAGTTATCATTTTATATTTTAAAAGCATATTATGATATCTACAGTTCAAATTACCCTATGTTAGAGTTGGGATATGGTACTTTAGACCTTTCAGTCACAAACAATTTTTGTCTATCTAAATGTTTCCATTATAGAATTGTAATTTAAAACAAGAGGCCCATGGGCCTTATAGGTCACCTGAGTATCATGTAACAACTGTCCAACAATTGAATTGGTTCATGTTTTAAATCAAAGGCTATTAAATTCAAAATTTTGAAAGAGGCACTATTGCTTATCATAACTAATACACTTAGCTTGCTTACTTTAGTTACTTAATACCCATAGTTAGATCATAGTAACAAAGCGAAAATGTATTTCCACTTTTTAACCAGTTGTGCACAGACTACCCCACAGGAACCACTGCCCCTGGTGGCACATATTTCAAAATTCTGGAAATTTTATCATAAAATTTATTTCAACATAAATGGTTGATTATTACCAAAAAGAAAATTTCAAAGCATTAATTCATTTATAGACTATGTGATTCCACCCCAATCCCAAGTACCCTGACCCAGGGGATCTGAAACTAACCATTTTGGAAAAGGAACCTTTCATCATCATTAATATGTACTTTATTAGAACACTACATAATAACCAGGAGCAAAGGAAAAGGTTTTCGAGGAATTCATGCATTTTTTACTTTATAATCTTTTATTAGAGCCCCGCCCTAACACCAAAACCCTGAACTTGAGTTTACTCAGGTGACCTAAAAATATGTGAATACATTTGTACTCTTTAGACCTGAGTATAGTGACAAATACCTTATGCCAGGTTGTTCAAGATATGCTGCAACAATCATGTCTTGTTGTTCCTTGGTACATGTCTCTGTGCTTTAACAGTTTCTTCTAAAAGTGATCCACCCGTTTCCACCTCCAGACTGTTCTCTGTAATATTGAACTTAAGAGTTTAGCTTACAAGTTGTGTATTGTTAGAGTTTTCAAACAATTTTGAGTGAAAGTAACAAATACCTTTTCTAGGCTGTTCAAGATATGCTGTAACAAGGTGTTCATTGTTTTGTGAAACATATTTATGACTGCTTTAACAGGATCCTCTTCAAATGATCTATCAGTTTCCACCTCTAGACTGTTCTCTGTAATATTGAACTCTGGTTTAGATGGCAAAAATTAAATATGTGCAGCTTTGATATAATTGTTAAGATTGAAGTGTCAAAATTAATTAAAATATTCATACAAATTACTTACATGTAGTCTTCTGACAAATCAGGATGATTTAGGGTTACTCTGGTACTTGCATGAAGTTTGATTTTTGTGATGATTGAGTCATTTTAACTGTGCCTACAACAAAACTCAAAAATGTCAGTTCAATAACATTTTGTTCATTATCTCTGTAACATATTTTATTACACAAGTCACAAGTATTCTATGAATTAACAAAGTTAACTATAATTTAACTTAATTTAGTCTGAATGCTAATGGTTTTGCTATGCATTCAATAATTAACACAATTGCTAATTTGCTATAGTACAATGTGATAATATAATACATGTATTATTTTCATATATCAATATATACAACTGTAACAGGTGGTGAAAAGTGATCGAAGTCTCAACCAAGACTCAAACCCAGGGCCTCTGGCGTACATTGCCAGCACACTAACCCACTGAGCTGATTAAGACCCAATATTTTGACTGACTTTCACGCACCTGTTGACCCGGTACAATTCTGCAACAAATATTTCCCTCTATTTTAGAATTTTCTTACCTGTTTGCATGTATCATATTAATTTTATAATCTTTGAGAAGCTATCAGTGCAGTATAATGGAGTACCATCTGCTTATTACTAGCATATACCTGTAAGTATAGAATACACATGTACAATATTTACTAAATATTTTAAAATATAGGCCTTAAATAAATATTTGTTTGTTGGCAGTTGCCTACCGTCCCATAGAAAACGCACCTGACAAAATTTTTTCTAGCCATTTGTACTAATTTTTTTCTCAATATTTTAGGACATTAAAACTATTTTATTTTTGGCTTTGTTCAATTGTTGTTTACCAAACAGCTGTGATTTTGACAAGAGATGAAGAGTGGAGCTTACTCATATTTAGTGGGGGACAGTCTATAAAAAGCTCTATTATTTGTTATCTGAAATCTGAAATCAAAAATCTGAAAACATTTTATTTTTTAAAATGCCTTTAATATTATTACCTTCCTACGTACCCAGCCTCAAGCCTAGTATTCCGACGGTCCTATAGTCCGACAGCCCAGTAGTCCGACGGCCCGATAGTCCGACAGCGCAGTAGTCCGACGGTCCGATAGTCCGACGGCCCGGTAGTCCGACATTTTTACCATCACCAATATTTTTAATAGTGTTATAATTACTCCTTTCTGACATTATTTCAAGGTAAAAACAAAAAACCGCCAGGGGGGGGGGGGGGGGGCTTAAAAGAAAAATGTAAGAAATTATGCACTCGACGGAAACGGATAATTTGATTTTTTTTCTAAATTCCGTAATATAGTTGAATATGGCACGCCAACTTCACAAAAATTAGCTAAACAAAGTTTCACAATTGATAAACTAGATTTTTCGTCTGTAAACTAAAGTTTAAAAACTGTAAACTACAGTTAACGATTCGTTAAGTATAGTTTTCATCTGTAAAACTATATTTAACGGTTGTTAACTATAGTTTACGAACGCTAATCTAAGTTTATCTGTCTGTAATAAAACGTTACCAATGGATTTTGTTGATAAAAATAGATTCTCGTTTACAATCGTAAACTTTAGTTAAGAGTTGTTAATCTTAGTTTCACAAATCGTGAAACTATATTTATCAGATCGTTAACTATAGTTAACAGTTTGTAAACTATCGCAAATGATTGTTTTCGGTGTTGAGTTTAGTTTACGGTTGTGAAACATATTATCGCGTTAACTATGGTTTACAAATTTAAAATATAGATTAACGTTGTTAACTATAGTTTACAGTCCGTAAACTATAGATCACAACCGTAAAACCTAGTTTATCGACTGTGAAACTATATATTGCTCATTTTTGTGAATGTGGCGTGCCATAATTGAATGTTTTAGAAATCGAATGAAAAAGATTTTTCGCCAAATTAAAAATATTATAAATATAGGACTTTTGTTTAAATCAATTTAAAGATATAAAAGAGGCAATTTGTCTATAGAAACCTTAGCGTACTCAGTATTAAATTTCAAATCGGTGATTTTTTTTTATTTGAACGTGAATACCGGTAACACACAACATGTATATCTTTAAATATGGTATTATTATCCCAGACAAGCCATATACATGTATAACTTTATGAATCACTAATACTGGAATATTTTTTGAATTACAAACAGGGACGTACGTATACGTAGCAAACAAAGAAAAATATAAATATGACAGAGGAAATTCGGACTGTTAATAATTATCACATTTATGGCCCAAAACTCTACTCATTTCTTAATAAGGAGCAACTCTGTTACATTGCTATAATATTTCATTATTTAAAGAGTTTCTTAGCTTGTAATATTTTGTGTGTGCAAGAAGAAAATAATGGTCATAGTGTGAAAAATTGAGGTATTTCTCGAGAAATACTCAGGGGCCACTAGCTTGAAAACGCGTCCACTGACCTAATTATTTGAAATTGAAATTAGGCACAAGAATCATAGGTATACAATGTGCAATAGGCGGTTTTTCGTTCTTATCAGTGGAATTTTTAGTCATCTGAGTAAAGGTATACTTTAATGGAAGATACTTCTTTATTCTTCGTAATACAGATATCTTTCCAAATACAAATTTACAACCAGCATCGACATGAGTATAAAAATTAAGTGAATATTCAATATGAATTCCAAGTAATTTTTCATGTGTAACACTCTCAATGAAATTTGTAAATTTAAATTTTGGTTCGTCACTTTTGATCGTCTTTGATGTGCGTCTATCAACATCCATTTTGTTCTTCTGGTATTCAAAATCATCTGATTCCGAGAACACCATCTTTCTATATTACTTATGTCCGACGATAACATATTTTGAATGGAAGAAACATTATTGTCAGAAAAGTGAAGATTGGGGTCATCCGCAAATAAATCAATGCTTGATTTCTCTATGAATAATGGGAGATCATTGATGTAAAATAAGAAAAGAAGTGGACATAAAATTGATCTCAGTGGCACTCCCGCTCTGACTAACTATTTTTCAGATAATATATTTCCATGTTGAACACTCTAAAATCTACAGTTTAAGGACGGGTGATACAACGGAAACCCATTTAGGACTTATCAAAAACATTTTTTTTAATTCGATAGAACAAATTGTCGAATTTGTTTTAACAGATTTAATTCGTTATAACAATTTCTTTGAATTCGTCATAATGAGTTTAATCTGTTATAACAAATTTGTTGAATCACTCTTCCATGGCACCTGATCCCACCTCTGATGTTTCAGAGGTCCGTGTTTGCACTGCTCTTATGTTGTATATTGTTTTATGGACGTTGAGATTGAATACTGTTCGTTATCACTATATTCTTCTTGAATTCATTATAAAGAATTCAAAATATTCTTCATACGAATTTAACTCGTTTCAACGAATTCTAAAATGTTTATTAAAAATTGAATTCATTCAGAAGATTTTTTTCTGAAATTTGTTATAACAAATTAAATTTGTATAAACGAATTCAAGAAATCGTTATTTCGAATTCATATATATTTTCCTATAGGCCCGATTATTGAATCTGTCTAAACGAATTTAATCCGTTATAACAAATTACATATTTTTTTTTTTAAAAAAACGGGTGCCCTATAGTAATCACTCTGTCTGTCCGTCTGTCTTTCTTCTGTCCACAAATTTCCTGTTTTTTCCTAATAACTTTTTTTATGGTTGCCCAATTAAGATCAAATTTGGTATGGTAGTTCAATAGGCAGAAAGACATATTTTGATGCTAAGTTTGTTTCTCTATGACCCTTGGTTTGGAGCTGGGGTGGTGGGGTATATTCCTTAACTTTATATAAGAATGCTTTAGCAAAGAGAGATAACTGCTGAAGATGTTTCCATTGTAAACTGTATGCTGCTATGAGTCCCTTGGGATTAATTAGCTTTCCTCCTGAAGAAAATCCAAAGCATTATCTTTATCTGTCACATTGAGATTAATTACCACCTTTGTCTGCAAATGAAGTTTGTTTTGAAGTTCAGTCAATTTGGAATGCTATGAACACTCTGAAATGTGGATTTAGATATATAAATGTTTATACTTTATTTTGGTTAAAATACCTACACAATGAGTTATGATTTCATTGAATTCTAAAAACAAGAAATAGATCAAAGAAGACATATCTTTTATTTTTACTTTTTTCCCTTTATGTAAATTCAAGAATAATAATAATTTTTAAGATAGTTGGATTAAGCCATTCTAATATTAATACTGAAAAAGTTCTTATTGTAACTTTCGAAGAAAATGATGAGAGAGGTACAATTAATCCCTCAGGATTAATTATCTAGCCTGCTGACGAAAATTTAGTAGGCCTATCTTTATCTGTCATTTTAAGACTAATGAAAAACTTTGTCTGCAACTGCTGTTTGTTTTGAAGTTAAGGTCAAGCCTTCATGATACATGTATTTGCATTCATTGAAGACTGGCATTTTATATAACACAAACACAAACTTCATTATTGTTTATATATACATTCAATGTTAGGTTGTTCTTTACTGCCAGTGCCTAATGTAAATATACAAGGATATTATTTACAAGTTTTTGGATATTCAGGAATTATGTTGAAAATTTTAAGAATACATTTGCTGTTGCTTATTTCTTCATATATTTTTTAATCATTCCATAAGCTGCATCCTTATAATCCCACCCCATGGCGGGGCCCTCGCTGACTGGTCAGTTTTCTAGTTTAATTTGTAATAACAAATTCTGTAATTCGTTTAATCAAATTAAATTCGTTATAAAAACTTTATGAATTCGTCATAACAAATTTGTTATAAGAGATTAAAAATGTTAAAACAAATTCTAAGGAATTGTTATAATAAAGAAATAAATTCGTTATAACAAATTATATCGAATTCAAATATAATTTTTGATAGTTCCTAAATAGGCTTACGCATGATACAAATAAACTTTTGTCAAAGAATTTGAAAATAACAACTTGGGCCATGTTTAAGGGGACCGATTGTAGTTTTCATTGCGCAACATTACGCACACCATAGTAAAATGAAGCGTATTTACTGTTTTTGAGCATTTTTTTCGCTAAATTAATAAAATTAAATTAAATTTTTG